CAAAGGTTCAAGTTAGAAGGGGTTGTGATGGGTGTATTTATCAAAACAATTAATACTTTTTTTATCAAAAATTATTTAAATAAGTAACTTTACTATTTAGCAAGGGTAAATTTGAAATTTTCACAAAAATACAATGACATTTTGGAAATTAGTGTCCTGAAACTTTATTTGTAGAGTGCCACTGTCCTTTAGTTAAAATTTCAACTTTACCTTTTATGGAGATGACGAAAGTACCATTTAAATTTAACCTTCATAACTCCCTCTAGTTTGAACCTTTGTAATTTGAAGGGTTGTACAGTATATATATATATACATATATATATAAAGATTCATGCATGGGATTTCATTTGCCCCATAATTACTTACAAACATCCGATGCGAAATCGGATAGCTTAGATGTGTTACAAAGTTCGAGAAACTTTCTTATAAAGTTTGAGATTGGTCAATGGAATAAATGCAACCATCTAATTTCACATCCAATGGTTTTAAACTATAATTCTATTCTTTGAAATTTTTTATTAAAGTACCTTGCTGACAGCCTGGCACTATTTATAAAACATATTTAACTTCACACCAATCACAAACGCATCATGGAACAAGGATGTGTTGGTTTCTCGAGTACATTGTGGTTTAATATAAGAGCCGAATGTTCCAGAAATGTTGGAAAGCCTCAGCATCATGTGTACTGGTTTAATCCTGAAGGGTCTATCCCTTAATTCTTAACTAGAAAGAATTATGAGTTACCATTTCCCTTGGATCAACCTATTTGTTTGGGGAGTTTTATAACCAGAAGTGTTGATGAGCCATCATTTGATTGGCCATAACAATCATTTTCAGGACTATCTTTAGTTCTTTAGACTTCCCTTTCACGTTTTGATGGATGCTTTCATTGATATCCAGTTGTATTTCAATACAGCAGTCTTTTAAAACCAACATTGTGCATGCATAACTTCTTTCTGACGTTGTTGATCTGGTGAACTGCAGGAAGCGAGAGCCTTGACAGGATATTTGCGCCTGAGAAAGTAAGCCGATGCAGTAGTGTTGGCAAGATAGGCTTCATGCCATCTTCAAACACTATGATTGAAAACATGAATGGAAGCCTTGATTCAACGATTGCATGCCTGGAGGCTGCGATCTCAGATTCCCAGGCCTTATGTGTAGCTCTTGATTCAAATTTGCTTGAGGATCCTTCAATCAGGGGTCCCAAAGTAACCCCTCAGTATACCATGAATGTAGGAGAACTGACCCAGAAGCTCGGAAGTATGCAGATGCTGTTAAGTAGATTACGGACACAAATTTAGCTAGGTCAATTGTCTTTTTCACTATTTGCTCTAAGGTTTTAAAGTCTTCTGGCTTGTTGGCATGCCATTCTTTGTTGTATATATGTAACTGTCTATTTTATGAGTATGTTACAGGCTGTAATAAGCGGAGGGAACCTCTGCAGAAGTTCTGTGGCATTCGTGTTTCGTTTTTGTGCATCCATAATCACTGTGCATCTGCCTAAAATTGAGCAACTAGTTGACGATGATCAGTGTTTCAAAAAGTGCTAGGCGGCTTCTAGGCGGTTGGGGTTCCAGGCGGTCTAGCTCTTAGGAGGGCGGCCTAGTAGAATTTTTTCTTTTTTTGGTTCTCTCTCAAAAATATCCTTTAATGGGTTTTAAGTTTTAAATGAACTTAAAACCCACAATTTTGTATCTTTAGTATTAAAAAAATAATTTAAAAAATACCATCAAGGAGCTGCAGTTCTTTTTTGGGTGCAGTTCAGCCTTGGGCAGTCGCTTAGGCGGGTTTAGGCGGGCGCCCAAGTGGGCGGTCCGCTTTTTGAAACAATGACAGTGAGGAAAAGAGCTCGGGCTTAAGTGGTTAGCACTTGGCGACTTGCAATGCTACATTCTAAGCTCAATTCCTATTCTAAGTTCAATTCCTATCAAGGGAAGGGGCTCTTTTCGCATTGACTCACCCCAAAAAAACAGAACAAGAAAAAAGAGAAGGAATGAATTAACGCTGCGTAACATTGAAACTTGAAAGTGGAGTGGAACCTCGACGAGAATAAGAGTCTATATTGAGTGTCACGTACATTCATCGCTCACAAATGCGTGTATCTGCACACAAAAAATTGGTCAATTACCATGGTAATTGTGAAACGATTTAGTAATCCTAGAATGGGAAAGTCTGGGGATCCTTATACGACATTCCTACCATACTAGGAGGTAGCTGTATATGACCCTGCACCCAGTCTCCCTTGGTCTATTCTCCAATTCTAATGCAGTGTAATATGCATTGACAGCCTTTTCAAAATGATTCAGAAACCATTAACTAAAATATATGGTAAAGGATCCCACCTCTTCTACACTCCAATTTATGGTTCTTTTTTTATTTAGGCAAATTATGTATGGACTGAGGGGGTCAATTATCAAATGGGTGTTATTTGTTTGGAATTACGAGCACCAATTTTTCCTTTTCCACGGTGTTTTTTTTCTTATAAGTTGTTCTGTTATCAGCAATGCAACCATCGGATATGGGGGTTATTGTGAAGGGTACAGCCATTTACTGTACGGTAAATACCGGACAACTAACCACATCAAACTACAAACCCACAGATTGCACCGTGATGGCTCTTTTCACAAAATATCTAGAAATAGGATCTTTTTCTTTCATCATTTAAAACGCATCTCTCTCTCTCTGCCCCCAATCCACTAGATGGCACCACATTTACAATCTGCACCGGCAGTCTGCCAAACCCAGAAGACTCCCCTCCATCCTCCACCTCCTCCTTTCTCTCTCTCTCTCTCTCTCTCCTCTGAATAAGTTCTTACTGCTTCATAACTTCAAAGAGAAACTTGTAAATTGATCTCCTGAACTCAACCCCCGATCCCTCTGCTTCCTCTTTCATTGTTACAGAAAAGCATTCATATTTATCTTACCCAAAAATGTCTCCGCAAAACAACAGAGGCTAAGTATCATTGTAATGTTCATAACATGTTAAATTCACCCTAAAAAAAAAACCCAGAAACAAAGACAACACAAACCAATCATACCCCAAAATTCAAGGTTGAACCCCAGTCATACATCCTTAAAACACCAAACCAAGTTTAAAATATCAACTGAACAAAACCAATATCCAAAATTTATTTTTTTATGATGACTAGGAAATCACAACCATTATAAATGAAAAAAAAAAATCACCTTTACCAAAACAGAGATTTCCACCTCATGAAGGTTGAAGCCAACAAAACCCAACTCAAAATTCCAAAACCAGAGGCTCATCCAATTCAAAGAACAAAAATCACACACAAAATTAACCATTTTAAACCCAAAGAAAGAAAGAAACAGCCATTATCAGAGCCACCAAACCCAACCAATTCCTATGAGGCAGATTTCCACCTCATGAAAGTTGAAGCCAACAAAAACCCAAAACCCCAAACCCAAAGAAAGAAAGAAACAGCCATTATCAGAGCCACCAAACCCAACCAATTCCTACTGAGGCAACACAGAGGCACTTTTTCTCTTGCTCCTTCTGCTCAGAGGGACCCCTAGGATTATGGAAAAAGACCCATAAGGCAAAAGAAAACATATATCAATAGGCCATTTGAAAAAACAGAAAAAAAGCACACAATAGCCATTAAGGAAGAAAATATGCCATTAAAGTTTGACCTGGCAAAAAATTCTTCGGCTACAGAATCCAGCTTAACCCTTCTGCCATCTTATTTTATGGTCATAATAGTTCTTTAAAACCAAGCATTTATGTAAGAATTGGTAAATGTATTTCTATATGTATTTGGGAGAAAACTGGGAAATTGAACCATCTCCCAAAGATACTTTCAGTCCTTTTAGAGTAAAAATGAGAGAGAGATAGTTCTCTTTTTCAGTCTCTGCTCTCTCTCTCTAGATTTAATCTTTTTCTCTCTCTCCTCTCTCGCTCTTAAGTTGATCTAATCTTTCACATCAAATGGGAACGTGAGATTGTTAACAACAGTGAAGGCGGCTACATTTTTAATAAGAGGGGAGAGGGGGAGAGATGGGTAGAGAGGGGTGAGCAAGAGGAGCGGGGGAGAGAGAGAGAGGGATGAGCAAGGGGTAGTAGGGGAGAGCGAGGGGCAGAAGATGGAGAGAGAGTTTGGGTAGGAGAGAGGCAACAAGAGAGAGGGAGTGTTTGATGTGGTTAGCTATCACGACCCCGCTCCCCCACCGTAGCTTATACGGCGACAAGCGATTGAACGCGGTTCTATAACCCCAATGTAACATCTGTCACTCGTGTAGGAGTGGACTCAACGACTTTAATTTCGATAATCGAGCAAATCATGGAAATGATTGCAAATAAATTTAAAAGCTTGGCAAACCCATTAATCCAAAAGATATTACATTACATTCCTCTCCAAAATTCTACAATAAAGTTCAAAGCACTAAGGCCCGTGATTACATAGTTTACATAAGACAGTTACAAATAGGGCTAAGAGCCCGACTACATACAAGCGTTAACTCCTTCTCAAGGTGGCTGCTCTGACTCCCCAACTGCAACCCGTGCTCCTAACTCTAGATCTGTTGCTCTCAATCTACAAGAGGAGAAAGAAAAGTAGTGGAATGAGCTCGGAAACCCAGTAAGCAGGTCTAGCGATATGCATCTATATCAATTCTATTCATGTAGGATAACAGATCAACCCATCAATATGAAGTCATAGTTTAGCATACATGAATAACAGGTCAAGACAGCGAATATGAACATTTTATTTGAATGGTAGGCAACATTAAATCAGAGTGCGATCATGAGCATTCAATCGGTGTAGTCATTAACATTCCATTAGTGCAATTATAAAACATTCCTTATTCAGAAATTCGACCATTACCTACTCACTCCCTAAACCACCTACTCCCGCAGTAGATGCCCAATCCATCAGGCTAAGTAAATCCTATTGCTTAAGGCATCTACCATCTCACAAGAGGGAGGTAATGACAAGTGGGGTAATCCACTTCGTAATACCTTCAACATACGCACACAGTCCCCAGCGCGCATTGGGGGCTTGATAGGCATTTACCTTGCAAGACATTCATCGTATATCTCATCTCATTTCATTATAGTTCCCATCATTATGTAGGTTAGGGAATATGTCGGCATCACTTTCCTTACTACCGATGGATGCCCCATCGCGTAGCAGGCGATATCATAACAGTAACCGCTACCGGAGAGTGTCCCACTGCGTAGTGGCCAATATCTACATGAGCGGTGGCTACTCATCATAATATCATAACAGTACCCACTACCGGTGAGTGTCCCACCGCGTATTGGCCAATATCACGGCATCATATCATGCTCAAGCATTTAATTCATTCATGCTAAATCAGTGCCTTATGATAGATAATTCCAAGTTTCATTACGTAGAGTTTGCATCTTACCCAAAACTATCCAGCAGTCACATAATGTAATGACACTTAGCATAAAATACCCATTATATGAGAGCTATCACATTGTGTTTACGCTTGACAATCAACATTCCCATTATGGCACTTGTCATGTAACATTCGTCATGGAGCTATTACAGAGGCATGTCATTTATCAATTTTCACATAACGCATAGCCAATAGCACCGTTTATACAATATTGTCGCATTTAGTATTCATCACATGAAAATTATCACATAGCATTCAAGCTTATTACCTATCAAAGATAACACTGAGGGCTTTACACAGGCGGCGTTACCCAAATGGCACTACACGCATGACACTACATGCACAGTGCTACGCGCATGATGTTGCGTGCATGGCGTTACACGCATAACGTTGCGTGCACGGTGCTACGCGCACGGCATTACGCGCATAGCGTTGTGCACACAATGTTAAGCTTTCTACTAGAGCGAACCATGACATATCATCATATTTCGAGGCATAACTCTCAATCTATGGGGAATTTCAAAATGAGTTCAACATGCAACTTTGAGTACATTCAAATATCTTCCTAATGGTAGTGATTTGAAGGTTTTTGGACATTGTTTGCCAGGCCCAAGGTGTGGCCCAACAAGGGTCACGGTTGCTAGAATTTACAGCGACCGTGAGCAGCGATATGTCTCTATGTTTTAGACTATATCTTTTGGTATGTGTGAGATTTTATCATGCATAAAAAGAAAACTTGAAGTAGACCTACATCTCTTCTATTTGAGACCAATTTGGTCCCATTTGGACACCATTTGGTCACTGAACATTTTGATGCAAAAATAGTTACAGTTTTGAAAATTCTTATTCTCAAGTTAACATGCTTTTAAAGAACAGTTAAATGTTTCATGGCCAAGGTACCCACAGGGCGGGGGATCTTGTTCATGTTAACAAGTCTCACAATGAACTATTTCATGAGTTTTCATGAATAACAAGATCATTTACATGGTTGAATCAATCATGGTATTAAGAAGCACGAATCTAAAATTTCATTCTCCAAACAACCCATTCATATATCATATTTTCATTCTATCATCCTACCCACCAT